CTCTCACTCCTGCTCCCCCCCCGCTCCTGCCCCGCCCCACCCTCCATACCCGCTCCCCCCCAGGGACACTGAGGCCCCCGCATCCGCAGTGCTGGGAGACAGGTGGGCCAGCAAGACCCCCAACCCTGAGCTTCTCTTCCTCCTTCCTCCCCTTGCCTCCTCCTTCCAGCTCCCTCCTCCCAGGTTTCCCCCTCCCCTCTCCTACCGTCATTCCCCCCTCACCCCAATTATGGTCAATAAAGAGAGTTTGGTTTTGGCAACACATGTTTTTATTTTACATCAGGAAGGGGGGTTAGGGAGGGGAAAGTGGAAGGATGTAAGGGTGGAATAAGGCACGAGGCCCCAGTGGGGCATGCCAGGGAGACTTCACTCCTCCTCCAGGTGGAAGCTATCCCGCAGGGCCTCTTGGATACCGACAGCCCCCCAATGGGCCTTCCGTCTGGCAGCTGTGTGGGGCTGCGTGTAGAGGCCAGCGAAGTGGTCACCCTCTGTCATCCAGGCTGGCAGGAAAGCCTCCCCCTTCATCTTGCACAAATTGTGCAGCACACAACACGCTGGCACCACGTGTGGAATATTCCGCTCAGAGAGGTCCAGGTGGTTGAGGAGGCATCTAAAATGGGCCTTCAATCAGCCAAACGCCCCCTCCACCACGATGTGGGCCCTGCCGAGTTTGACATTAAAGGCCTGTCAGGAGGGGTTAGGTGTCCCGTGTAGGGTTTAATCAGCCAGTGTTGTACGGGATAGGCTGCACCCCACACCAGGCACACAGGCATGTCCACGTCCCCGACGCTGATGCGGTGGTCAGGGAAGAATGTCCTGGTGTGCAGCCTTTGGCACATGGAGGAGTTGCGGTAAACCTGTGTGTCATGTGCTTTGCCAGACCAGCCCACGTTGATGTCTATGAACTGGCCCCGGTGGTCAGACACAGCCTGCAGCCTGAAGTTCTGGGTTCATTGTTGGTCTCCCCAGCACTCTAGGATGATGTAGTCCCACCAGTCACTGCTGGTGTCCAGACGCCAGATGCGGTGGGGCACGCTGGCATCCGGGCGCTACTGCTGCTCCTCCGTGGCCCTAAGTGGAGTCTGGAAGAGGGCCTGGAGTTTGGGCTGCAGCAGATGCTGCCAGGCAGTCTCAGCAATTGCAGACAGGCTTGCAGCAAGACATCCAACATGAGCACCAGAGTGCCCAGGGGCAGCTCTGGCTCCATGGTACCGAGTGCTGTGGTGTCCCGAGTCAGGGCAACCAAATCAAGCAGAGACAAAAATGCTTTGCTGTCCCTCAGCAAGGTAGGCAAGTAAGCTGGGAAAGCTAAGAACCGGCTGTCCAGGGGTGTCCCTTTAAGCACAAGCCTCAGTCAGCAGCCACACAAAGCAACTACTGACCTGATGCCCTGCTGGAACTGGTTTCAGCCGCCCTTAAATGCGATTCAGTGGATGCGCTATTTCGAAATAACAAAATGCTATTTCAAAATGCATTTTGTGTGTAGACATGTTATTTTGAAATAACTTGTTTTTAATTAACTATTTCAAAATAAGATATTTCGAAATAATGCTGTAGTGTAGACATACCCTAAGGCTGTGTCTAGACTGCAGGGTTTTTTTGAAAAAAGTAGCCTTTTTTCAAAAAAAACTCCACCTGCGTCTAGACTACAGCTGTGTTCTTTCGAAATTAAATCAAAAGAATGTGGCTTTTCTTTCGACGGCGGTACTCCTCATTTCACGAGGAAGAACGCCTTTTTTTGAAAATGCTCTTTCGAAAAAAAGGTGCTATGTCATGCAAACTGTGCTTTTTCGAAAGAGAGCATCCAGACTGTCTGGGTGCTCTCTTTCAAAAAAGCGACTTGCTTTTTCGAAAGTACTGGTTGCAATCTAGATGCTCTTTTTCAAAAGAGGCTTGCAGTCTAGACGTAGCCTAAGAGAATAGTAGTCTTTCCTGCAGGTGCTCTCTTAGGGTGTGTGTACATGGCAAAAAAACCCAAATCAAACCAAACTCTTCTTCTACATGGCAGTGAATCTCAGAGCCCAGGCCTACAGTCTTGGGCTCATGATGTTCAAGCCACTGCACTGCATCTAACTGTAGAAACCCATACCTTTCTCTGGGCTTTAGAGTTCAAGCTCCAGCCTAAGACTGCATGTCTGCATGGTATTTTTAGGGCTATAGTATGAGCTCTGTGAGCCTGAGTCTGTTGATCCAGGCTCTACAACTCATTGCAGTGAGTAATTTTTTTGCCTGGTAGACAAACCCTTTGTAATAATGTTCCTGTAAAGGATAAGGATTTTTGGCAGATGAATGTAGAAAAATGAGTCCTGAAAAGCAAAGGGACATTTTCCTCTTGATATGGTTTCCACTTTGTTTAAAAGCAAAGACATGAATATTGGTGCTCAACTTATTTTTTCCTTTTCTCAGCCCATTTCATTTTCTATGGACTTTAACCATAGTTCTTTATCTGAAGCTGAGAACGTAATCTTGTCTCTCTGTGCTCTTGACCAAAAGATATGCACACAAGAATAGTGCAGGAAGCTTTTTCCTCTCTCCCACTCCAAAGACCCAGCTTGCTACTTATCTGTGTGGCCGTCTGTAGGGGCACAGATGTCAACAATCGCCTGTTACTACAAAACTCCCACATGGCAGCACAGTGTGCTACTTTAATACTAATAGGCCACATTAACATCAATATTACTAGGTGTTTTATTAGGAAGCGATAGTGTCATTTATTTAATAGGGCACTGGACTGGCAATCAAGAGACCTGTTGCTACTCTGTTAGGCCAATGACCTGCTGTGTGACCTTTGGGAAATCATGCCCCTGTTCTGTGCCTTTGTTTCCACTTCCACCTTCTGTCTCTCTTGCTTGTTTAAACAGCACACTCTTTGGGGCAGGGACTGTGTCTCATTATGTGATTGTACAGTTTCTAACACAATGTCTTGATCTCAGTTGGGGCATTTAGGAATTACTGTAAAGAAATAATTAACCTAATAGTCCACGCACATAGATGGCACAGTGATGTTTCTTCCTGGGTTGTAAATGCCATCGAACCACCGATTGTTGTGGTATAAAAGAGCTTGTGAGTCTTGCAGGGTTTTCCTACAAATCCAATCCCTCCCCTTGAGAGACATAGTTCTACTGGCATAACCCTGGCATAGATCTGTGCTGTTGATTTCTAAGAATTTTCGTCTGTAGACTTAGCTATCACATCTGAAAAGTGGATTACCTATACCAACGGTAAAAGTTTTTGTCAGAGAAGGTTATGTCTACATTGAGGCACTACAGTGGAACAGCTACAGAATTTTAAGTGTAGACAAGCCTGAAAAGTTACCCAGAAACTGCTAATTAGTATAAAATGTTATCCTGGTAAACTGTGTTAAGGGGGGATAAGAATTTAATTTGTTATTTTACAGGTGTTGTTGTCTGTGAACCTCCTAACAACAAGCTGGATAAATTCATAGGAGTTCTTTTCTGGAAAAATAATAGGTATTCGCTCAATAATGAAAAGATGCTGCTAAGAGGCTGTGTGTTGAGAAACACAAACTGGTGCTTTGGAATGGTTATTTTTGCAGGTAAGACAAACCTATATAGATTAACAGCAATTTTAATTCCTAATGGCTTGGTATCTGTAACAACTGGCATAAATACTCCACATTCTTATGGAGCAATAGTATTTGGGGCTCAGAAATATTTTACAAAAGTATATAGGTGGGCCAAAAAGTGAAGCATGGAGAAGTTAACTATCTTGGCCAAAGTGTCACAATGAGTCACTAGCAGAGGCAGGAGTAGGGCCTGGTTTTTTGACTCCCTTTCTCCTATTTTTACCAATAGATGGTAGCAGGCACTAGCCATCTGACTGTATCCGTCTATACAAGCATCTCAAACTTAAGTTGTCCTAGAGGGTGTCATTGTTCCAAAGTCATGAACAAAAACGTAATAAACATGAAACTAATAGATCAGCCTTACAAAATAGTCATGACTTTACCAGCCCAAGCACAAAATGTACTTTCCTGTCCAATTAACATGATGTCTGATGAAAAAACGAATGGTATTTTAATTAGCCAGATTGTAAGAAGAATGCAATAGATGCTCACAGATATATCATAGATTTTCATGTGTCGTAGTAATGCAAAGTAATGGAGACAAGGAAAATGATCAGGTTGGGTAGATACAACACAGTAGAATGCAGCTGTAAAATTGCCTGCCAAATAAAAGATGGACTTCCATATTCATCAACATAATATGGCTGGATGGGCATAGAAAATGAGCAAAAGCTGACACTTTATTTATTTTTACACCAAATGTGTGTAATATAAAACAAAATATGTGTGTGTGTGTGTGTGTGTGTGTGAGAGAGAGAGAGAGAGAGAGAGAGAGAGAGAGAGAGAGGGACCCTTGGATGAATTTAAACTAATATATGTAAAGATATATGAGGTAATTAAGTTCTGTATGGTCAAATTAAGGCATTGTGCAAATCAATATTCATCTGATCTAACTCAGAGCCCTTGGTTATACTACAATTATCAATGAAGAAGAATTCACATTTAAAACCCACACCTAAAAAAAGTCAGATTCCTTTGCTTTTGGTCATGGTTCTTGAAATTTTGGAATTAAAAAGAGGCTTAGCATTAAGGAGCTTTTATGAGTTCTGTGGCTGCCATCAAACAGCAGCCTGCTGATGCACCTTGAAGACCATGTTGATGTTAACATACATTACTTTATATGCTCAATAATCTCCAGTGACATAAAAGTCAACTATATTCCATGTAGCCCAGCACATGGTAAGTTTTGCTTCAGCAACAATGAGAGGAAAGTCTGAGCTTTTGCTTTATAGTGAGCCAGCATTACAGAATTTGTGGAAACTGATTGCGATTAATAAATGGACGAATGAATGAATAATTGTCACTTGAGTATCACCTTTCAATTGGTCACCTCAAAGTGCATTAAAGACATTAACAATCTGAACCCCAGATAATCCTGCTGTGATAGGTAGACAAGAAGCTCAGTGAGGTGATGTGTAAAGAAGTCTGTGGCAGAGGCAAGACAAGAACACAGAACATCTTGTTCTTAATTTTGTAGTTTTAATGAATTTAGGTAGTTGGAAATTACCTCAGTCTGGAATGAAATATTTTTGGAGTAATCAGATTTCAAATTATATGATGATTTTCACCATGCCAGCCTAACCACCTTTCTGTAGCTACTGAATATTTTTCAAAATTGTTTGTGAAAGCTCAGGAATGCTTTTAGACAATTAAATATTACAAAATGATAATATCTCAGTTTTTAGAATGTATTTCTTGTATGTACATTAGAAAAAAGTAGTTTACATATGTGTATTTTAAAAAACTCAATAATTAATACTTTTAGTGAATAATTTATGATGTAATGATTAAAAAAAAGATCTGTTACTTTTTTTATAGGCCCTGACACTAAATTAATGCAAAACAGTGGTAGAACTAAATTTAAAAGAACAAGCATTGACCGTCTGATGAATACTTTAGTATTATGGGTAAGTTATTATAGTCAGATCAGGAAAAATCAGTGGGTATTGCATCCACATAATTAATCTTCTCTGTTAAATTATATGTATCAGTAGATATTTCTGCATTGTACAATACTAATAAGAATGCAACACAGATACATAGATTAGGTTGAAAGACACACACTATCTAGCCTGAAGACAATTATTTGTCACTAATCACTCCTGCATTACAAGAGTACTTATAAGCAGTAGTAATCTCTGTTTTTAGGGTAGTATCTTTTCATGAAGCCACTGGTATGGTGAGTTGAAGACAAATGCACAAGTTTTACAGATATTTTTCTTATCTCTTACCATTGGTCCAAACTTCCTAAAGTTCAGTATAAACAAGACTGTAACCTTCCTGATAATTTTTTTTGTAATTGGTTATCCCCAGGCAGTAAAGATCTGGCACAGAAAATTTGTAACTAGGAACTTTAAGCAGACTGAGTATTTCACTTTTGTGTCAACTTGGTCTCTAATGCCTAGGACACATCCAAATTCCTTATGGTTTCTTAATGAAACAAAACATTGCTATTTTGGCATAGGCAGACTTCAGAGCTACTACTTTTTTAAGTGTTGTGATTTTGATCATGGGAGAAATTATGTAGTTCCTGAAACTTTTTATCTGAATAAATCCAAAGATTCAGAGAAGAGGTTGTGGATGAAGAAAGAAATTTCGATGTGAGAAATACTGATATTTTTTCAGCACATCTAAACATTACTTGCATTTTTTAAGTTATTTGTAGCTGTTCTGTCTCATGTTAAAATTAATACTTTACCCATGATTTAGAAAAACACATCTTAAACCAAACTCTTATAATAACACTCACAGCAAGTGTTCATTTTTGTTATTTACCACAGCAATAAAAAAGACCTTTTTGCCAACTCTTGTAATAACTGCAACTATTTGTAGCTTATGTATTACTGTATAGCATTATTAGTCAAACTGACTAAGGAATAGGGACAAACTAATTATGGACTCAGAATATGGGCCTTTATTTGGGGCAAAATAAAACCAAATGAGATTCCCTTTTCCTCCAGCTTATTAAACATGAAATATTATATACCTTGGGTAATTCTAATTTGGATCTTAAGCATCTGTTTGCTTAGACTAGGCAATATTTATCTGTAGATGAAAGGTGTCCTTTTCATGCATTCATTTTAGAAAATAGTGCACATTTAGAAAAAGCTAACCATCTCTGCTGTTCTTGTTTCAGATCTTTGGCTTTTTGGTATGTATGGGAATAATTCTGGCAATAGGAAGCTCAATATGGGAACATCAGTTTGGGGCCCATTTCAGAATTTACCTTTCTTGGAATGAAGTGGTGGACAGTTCTGTGTTTTCAGGATTTCTCACATTTTGGTCGTACATTATCATACTCAATTCAGTTGTGCCTATTTCCCTGTATGTGAGGTAAGATGAGAGATTATGATTTTATAAAGCATATAAATCTTAATGGCTTTTTCATCTCAAGTTTTTTCCCTTAATTGCAATATTATGCTTTATCCTTTTAATTTTTGTGTATTTAAAACTTGGTCTGCTGTGAACTTTGTATATGAGAAACTCAATTCTCTTAGGGTATGTCTACACTGCCACCCTAGTTCAAACTAGGGTGGCAGTGTAGACATACCATTATGGAGATAATGCTTAGAATTGGAGAACAGTATGTGCTGGCTTTCTTGTCTTCTTTCTTGTCTAGAATTCTTTTTCATTGACTTATGTCAATTCTTTTGTTTCCTTCTTGCTTCGTTCTCCAACAGCTGACAGGTAAGCAGTGGTGGACATCTGTCACTCCCTGCACCTGACCACTTGTTTGACAAATAGCAATGGATTCATCGCCTTTCTGATATATTTGTTGTTCATTTTTTCCTCAGAATGTCCTTGGTGTGCACATTTAATTCTTCTTCCTTAAATGTTGAGGCTTTATGCAAACATTTTTTTAAACCTGATGTCGAACAAGATTATTGAGAGGGCCTTATTCCTTAACTAAGATCCCTGTTTGCACAATTTTTACACTGTTCCAGCTCCTCCTTCAAAAATATGGGAATTAAAATCCTCAATTTATATTATTTGAGGGCTTATCTAATCGTATCAGTGTTTATTCATAAAAACACCATATTTCGCTTTGCTAATATTAACATTGCAGTTACACAATAGAATATTAGCAAAATGATCTAAAATAGTTTTATGGCTTCCTCAAATTTCAAATCCATCTTAATAAAGAATAAAAGTGATGCAGTGTTTGTCAGTTGCTGATTATTTCTGCTGGAGTATGGGTTTAAGAGTAGCGTTTATGGTGTTGGAGCTTCTTCTAATACATTTCTTCATTTTGTCATTGAGAAGTAAAACTTGTGCTTGATAGAGGTATGTACAGTACAGGAAATAAGACTACCATGGCTGACAGGGCCAAAATGTAATGAGGCTCATCAAAATAATGGGTATAGCAGAGAAAAGTTGTGATCTTTTCATATTTCAGTGTTCTTTTTAAATGTCCTGAGAGCTTTCCATTACTTTTTTCACAGTTAAACTATGTCCATTCCCCAGGCCAGCTATGTTGATCTTAAAAAAGTGCAATTTTCTGTTTAAAGCTTTTTGTAATCTTTTGCTTATTATGAGAAAAACATATTGTTTTATCTTTTACAGTTACTTGATTACTTGGCTATGGTGCATGCAGGTCCTTGCCATTAGTGATCAGTGATCTATCTATCTATCTGTCTATCTATCGATCGTTCGATCGATTGATCGATAGAAATGGATATGGATATGGATATGGATATATATGTCTCCATGCACTTTTAAAGTAAAAAAAAAAATGGGATAGAGAATAAATGAATGAATGCTACAATGTTCCACATACAACCCCTCTTCTCCCTGCTTTGAATGACAGTCCGAAAACATAAATGCCCAGGTGCGGATAATCTGCTTCCTATAGTGGCTTGCGAACAGGGACTATTAACAGGGAGTTTGGAGAGGGAGTTCTCCAGATAAAGGAGGAAGCTAATACAGGACCCTTGAGGGAAGTGACTGTCTGTAGTGTGTGTTTGCGTGTGTGTTTGGGGTTTTCTTGCTGTGTGCTGAGCTTGTTTTAGTTGTTTTTTTTTTCTCCTTTCCCTTCCCCCTCCAGTCCACATGGAGTGAGTGCTGTGGCTGGCAGGTGGAAGCTGTGAGCTTTTAATCAGGGTTTGAAATCTAGAAGCCTCTGCTCATTGGTTGAGCCTTAATCAGGAGGAGGGGCTATCAGGCAGTCCAGGGCTTTATAAAGGAGTTAATCAGCGACCAGGGGCTGTTAACAGAGAGTTTGGAGAGTGAGTTGGGAAGGGGAGAGGGAAGGGGGAGAGATACACTTGCCATTCTTTAACATCTTTTCACTGCACTCCTCCCCTTCAAGGAGGCATTGAATAGCATCTGAGGAATCTCTCAGAAGGAAGCCAGGTATGGATGGTGATAGGGCTGCTGTTGTTACCTGCACAGCATATGCCATGTTTGTCTTCCTCCCAGAAGACAGAAGGGATTTCATCGGCACTAAGTGCAAGCTGGTCACCATTTTGGAAGAAAAAATTAAAGGACTTGAGGCCCAAGTATTGATCCTACGTTCTATCAGAGAGGATGAAGACTTCCTCGATAGAAGGCAGCGTTTAATCCTGCAGGCACAGCAGGCTGAAGAGCCAGTCAGGGCAGTACAAGTTAAGGAAGAGATCTGGCAGCATGTAACCTCTAAAAGGAGAAGAAGGCCAACTCAGGTATCCCCTATCTCTGTAGAGTTAAGTAACTGCTATCAGGCTCTCTCCACAGGCACTGTGGTGGAGAATGCTCTGGCAGGGACCTCTCAGGGAAGGAATCATAAAGGAACACCATCTACCAGAAGGCATGGGATGCGTAGTCCTAGGGATGGGGGTTCCATGCCCACAACCCCCAAAAGAAAAAGATGGGTGGTGGTGGTCGGGGACTCCCTCCTAAGGGGGCCTGAGTCATCCATCTGCCGTCCAGACCTGCAATCTCGAGAAGTGTGCTGCTTACTGGGAGCTCGCATTCAGGATGTGACCCGAGAGTCTTCCCAAAGTGATTAAACCTATGGAGTGCTACCCCTTCCTGCTTCTCTATGTAGGAACTAATGATACGGCCAAGAATGACCTTGAGTGGTTCACAGCAGATTATGTAGTGCTGGGAAGAAGGATCAAGGAATTTGAAGTGCAAGTGGTGTTCTCGTCCATCCTTCCGGTTGAAGGAAAAGGTCTGGGTAAGGATCTTTGAATTGAGGCAGTAAATGCGTGGTTATGCAGGTGGTGTCGGAGAGAGGGCTTTGGTTTCTTCGACCGTAGGACTCTGTTCCAGGCACAAGGATTGTTAGGAAGAGATGGGATCCACCTAACCAAGAGAGGAAAGAGCATCTTCGAGGGAAGGCTTGCAAAACTAGTGAGGAGGACTTTAAACTAGGTTCATTGGGGGATGGTGACCAAAGCCCTGAGATAAATGAGGTAGTCAGACACCAGGAAGAATCACCAGAAGGAACGAGCAACAAAGGAGAACCCCTGATTTGGATGGAAAAGGTAGGGTGATCACCTGGTTATCTAAGGTGTTTTTACACCATTGCGAGAAGCCTGGGAAACAAACAGGAAGAATTAGAAGCCCTGGCCCAGTAGAATAACTATGATTTGATTGGAATAACGGAGACTTGGTGGAATGACTCGCATGACTGGAGCACTGTCATGAAAGGGTATAAACTGTGTGGAGGAGAAAAGGAGGAGGAGTTGCATTGTATGTAAGAGAGCAGTATGATTGCTCAGAGCTCCAGTATATAGAGGAAGAAAAGACTGTAGAGAGTCTATGGGTCTATGATGATGTTGTGGTTGGGGTCTGCTATAGACCACCGGATCAGGTGGATGAGGTAGATGACTCTTTCTTTGGACAACTGAGAGAAGCTTCCAGATTGCAGGCTCTAGTTCTCATGGGCAACTTTAATCACCCTGACATCTGTTGGGAGACCAATACAGCAGTACATAGAAAATCCAGGAAGTTTTTGGAGAATGTTGGGGATAACTTCTTGGTACAAGTGCTGAAGGAACCGACCAGGGGCCATTTGCAGCTTGACCTGCTGCTCACAAACAGGAAGGAACTAGTAGGGGAAGTAGAGGCGAGTGACAACCTGGGAAGCAGTGATCCTGAAATGGTAGATTTCAGGATCCTGATCATAGGAAGAAAGGAGAGTAACAAAATACAGACCCTGGACTTCAGAAGAGCAGACTTTGACTCCCTCAGAGAACTAATGGGCAGGATTCCCTGGGATGCTTGCATGAAGGGGAAAGGAGTCCAGGAAAGCTGGCAGTATTTTAAAGAAGCCTTATTGAAGGCACAAGAAGAAACCACCCCAATGCGCAGCAAAAAAAGCAAATATGTTAGGCGACCAGATTGGCTTATGGGGACATCCTTGGTGAGTTTAAACACAAAAAGAAAGCTTACAAGAAGTGGAAACTTGGACAGATGACTAGGGAGGAGTATAAATATATTGCTCAAGAATGCAGGGGAGCAGGGGCGGCTGGTAAGCCTAGGCAAACTAGGCAGTTGCCTAGGGTGCCGCCAGCCCAGGCACCTGATGATTACGTCATGGCCATTGATGGCCGTGCAGGCGGGGACGCCAATCGCGCCTTCCACCTGGGGCACCAGCTGCCGCAGCCGACCTCGGGCCGCTCCTGCTGGGGACTTATCAGGAAGGCGAAAGCGCAGTTGGAATTACAGCTAGCAAGGGATGTGAATTACAGCTAGCAAGGGATAATAAGAAAGGTTTCTACAGGCATGTTAGCAATAAGAGGGTGATCAGAGAGGGTATGGGGCCCTAATTGGATGAGGGAGGTAACCTAGTGGGAGATTGTGGGAAAAGTTGAAGTACTCAATGCTTTCTTTGCCTCTGTTTTCATGGACAAGGTCGGCTCCCAGACAAACGCACTAGGCAACACAGCATGGGAAGGAGGTGGACAGCCGTTGGTGGGGAAAGAACAAGTTAGGAACTATTTAGTAAAGCTAAACATACACAAATCCATTGGCCCAGATTTAATGCATCCGAGGGTACTGAGGGAGTTGGCAAGTGTCATTGCAGAGCCTTTGGCCATTATCTTTGAAAACTCGTGGAGATCGGGAGAGATCCCAGATGATTGGAAAAAGGCAAATGTAGTGCCCATCTTTAAAAAAGGGAAGAAGGACAATCCAGGCAACTACAGATCAGCCAGCCTTACCTCAGCCCCCGGAAAAATCCTGGAGGGGATCCTCAAAGAATCTATTTTGAAACACTTGGAAGAGAGGAAAGTGCTCAGGAACAGTCAGCATGGATTCACGAAGGGCAAGTTGTGCCTGACCAATCTGATTAGCTTCTATGATGAGGTAACTGCCTCTGTGGACATGGGAAAGTCAGTGGATGTGATATACCTTGACTTTAGCAAGGCTTTTGGTACAGTCTCCCACAATATTCTTGCCAGCAAGTTAAGG